GGAAGCCTGCTTCTCCCTCTCCCAATCCCTCTGCTTGTGTTCCCTCTCTCGCTGTCTCTCTCTCTGTCAAATAAATAAATAAAATCTTAAAAACAAAAACCAAAAAACATGTGGCTATTTAGCAAACATTGTTGGTACAAGTGATACCTAGTTTCCTGTCCCTGGATTTAATTTGAACCATTTGTGTTTGGGCCCCAGTTTTCCTTCTGAGGAATGACAATTATAAACTTAAGCTTTTCTTTAAAAGCTGCAAGATTGTGGTTCTCAGTAAAGAGGGGATTCTGGAGAATAGAAAGGTGTCTTTTTTTGTTTCTCTATTTCTGTAGTCTTTGTGTCTCGTCTGAAGTTGCCATGATCACAAGATAGCCCCTGTATTAGAGGATTTTCTTTTTTGTCACTAAGTTCAATTCGTGGTCCAGAAGTTTGGAGAAATTATAATGTGTCATATTTTCTTTATTTTTCAGTGCAACAGAATGGAATTCGGCATTGTTCCTATATAGCGTCCCGGAAACATCTCTATGTTGATAAAAATACAAAGGTTATTTGCCAGGGTTTCACTGGTAAACAGGTATGTGTCAAGATGTTTTATAAAGATGCGTATTGCAGGTACAGAAACATTTAACTATTTTCTATTTTTTTAATAATCACAAAAGTTACATGATTGTTGCAGAAAAGTATACAGTATAGCAGTGGACTTGTATCTTAGGAGGGGGTTCAGTGTGATAGCCTGTAAGATGAAAATTGTGTTTAAACTTACCTGGAAAATACCTTCCCAGGAGCACTCTTTTTCAACAAGTTCACCACCACTGGTTTTCCTCCAGCTTTGGAGTAGATTACTGTTTGTTTAATTAAAAACTGGGTAAAGTAAATGGCTTTACAAAAATGTGCCCAGTTAAACACAGATCAGTATGGGGAAATGCTGCAGCCCAGAGAGGCTCATGAGAACTGAGATAGGCAGAAGAAGCAGCTCACTGACTTTTCTCACCTTATACTCTCTCTAGGCAAATGGTCTTTGAGGGGACTAGCCGGCAAAATTGCCTGAAGTGTTTTAATTTGTTCTCATTCACTTATATTCATTGTCTCTCCCTATCCCTGCTTATGTCATAGAATTTGCTAAGTTTTAAATATATTTGCAATGTGATTCCACAATAAAATGCAACATAAGAGTGTCCTTTCCCTCCTTCCTATCATTTTACGCTGTAATGTATATGCTACATTTATATATAATCTATAAAATAGATTCATAAAAGAAAAATTGAATATCAAGGTTCTGTGTATTTAAAATTTTAACAGCTTGGCTAAGTTACCCTTTAAAACATTTGTACAGGGCGCCTGGGTGGCTCAGTTGGTTAAGCGACTGCCTTCAGCTCAGCTCATGATCCCAGGGTCCTGGGATCAAGTCCCGCATCAGGCTCCCTGCTCTGCGGGGAGCCTGCTTCTCCCTCTCCCA